TATATATATATATATATATATATATATATATATATATATATATATATATCATATCAAATGCAACCCTCTTAAGTATTATAACTAATGCAATGCAACTTCATATGCACTACAAAATTAAACAATCTAACGATTGAGATAAGACGGTTGCAGTTGAGGTTAAGGCGGTTACATTTTAAAAAATAAAAAACAAAAACACTCCTTAAAACAGTGGATGATCTACGGTTATGATTAAATTTCTAACAAATTCTTTATTTTGAAGATTATGATATCGATTATATTATTAAAATATTAATTGATCTAAAAAAATATTATTCTCTTCCTAAAAAAATTTATTTCAAAGTTTTCTATTGATAAAAGTAAATATTTATCTCTCATTGTAATTAGATCTCTTGGAGTAGGTATGGTAATGGGGCGGGGGGGAGCCCAAACCCCGATAACCCATCTTTGTCCCCGTCGCCATCCCCACCGTGGGGAATTTGATCACATCCCCATTAGCCTGTCTCCAACGGGGAAATGAGGATTTTTTTTCATGTTTGTGTAAGTTTTTTTTAAAATCAAATGTGTGAGACGATATACATGTTTAGATCTTACATTATTCTAATAAACCTAAAATCAAATTTAATACAAAAAATATACATCATCATATAATAATTAATAAATTGAAAACCAAAAGAAATTAAATTTAATCTAAAAAAATTAAAGTCTTATGTACCAAAACATATTGAGTAATATCTAAAACCACATCTAGTAATATCCAAAATATATTAAAATAGAAATTACTATTTACCGATTTAATAGAAATAAATAATATATAATATAATTCATTAATTAATATATATACGGGTACGGTATGGGGAGTGCGATACCCGTCCCTATTCCCGAGACCCGGTTTAACAGGGAATTCCCGTGCCCGACAAGGGCAGGTGGATCAGGTTCCCTCGATGAGTCGGGGCCAATTCCAATGCCTATCTTGGAGGAAAAAACATTGTCAAAATCCTTTTCTTTATTTTCAAGAATGCATGGGAGATACTTTGAAACCTAAAATAATTAACTGTAATTGTATTAATTTCTTGATTAAAAAGTCACAACATTTGTTCATCTAATATAGAGATGGCCAAAAACCGGTCCCGGGCCGGTCCCAGTCGGTCCTCACCTTTCTCATAACCGGCCATAACCAGTCCCGTTCGAAAATGATAGGACCGGTCAAGGTACTTCATAACCGGTTATGTGCCGCCGGTCCCGGTCCCAACCGGTCCTTGCATTAAAAAAATAAGATTTTTTTATTTTATTTTTTTAATGATATATATTTTTAATACATTATAAAATTTACAATTGAGTCACTCAAATACACATTAAAAATGCGTTTTAATATAATTAAAATTACGTTTTCTTATAAAAATACATTATAAAATTATTTAAAAATACATTTATTTATAAAATTATTTGAATTTTCGAGCCGGGCCGGTCCATAGTCGGTCCCATAACCGGTCCCGGTCCCACGAAACTACCAAAAACCTCAACCGGTCCCGGTTTTCGGTCTCATAACCAGTCCTTACTGGTCCCAGTCCCGGTCCTCCTTTTCTTAGCATAGCTATTGGACCGGCCCGATTTGGCCATCTCTAGTCTAATAGCAATTGTTCAATTTGTTTATATTCTAAAGTTCATTTGGACCACAAATTCATATTTACTTCGTTCTTTGTAAAATTGAGTGAAACACAAAAAAAATATTTTAAGAAATATTTACATGTCTGTTTGATAGTGGTTGCTAATATTTACCATTAGAGATTATCTTGGCTGGTCTTGGTCTCTAGGCTCCCGGACCAGTCAAGATGAGCACAAGCTAACAAAAAGAGCATTATTGTAATTCATCACTACAAACTACACCAAACATATCACCAGGTGAAACTTAAGGACTTCTCTATGAATAAGCATGTTATATGCTCTCTCCTTTTCTTAGCATAGCTATTGGAGCAAACTTTACGGAAATCTTCAAATTTCAAAAATAGAAGATGCTCTCATACTCACCACACTAGACCAAAGTTACTTGCTTGGTGTTAGATCGTGCAAACAAAACATAAACCAGTACATCTCACCCAGAATAAGGTCTAGAGGTATGAATGGATTAGATAACACAAAAAACGATCGCAGCAAATGACACAAAAGGCACCAAAAATGCATGTCATTCAAACATCCATCCAGAAAGGATGATAAACATGACAAGATCCAACACATGAAACACAAATATAACCTACAAAAGTCTCAACATAGAACAGTAATCCAAAACCTGCAAATGAATAGTGACCACACCAATCAGAGCCTCCTTCCCCTTCTACCACCCTTTCGGCGAGTGCTATCCGTTGGAATTGGTGTCACGTCCTCTGCAAAAATCAAACCATCCACCAATGAATAAACATAAGTTTTGAGACCAATTGAACCAATATATAGCAACTGTAGTAACAAGAATAATATGTAAAGGAAGAATTTGAAAAGCACACCTATGCGACCAATCTTCATGCCTGAACGAGCAAGAGCTCTGAGGGCAGACTGGGCACCTGGACCTGGGGTCTTGGTTTTGTTCCCTCCAGTTGCCCGCAACTTAATGTGAAGAGCATTGATGCCAAGTTCCTGCATTTGAACACTTGACACATTTACCCATATGCTCAAACCATAACCCAAGCTCCACAAAAGACACAACCATGTTAACATATTTCAACATATTCCTGTTACTTGGTGCAGCCAATTCAATCGAAGAATGTTAAGGTTCAAGTCTTTACAGCACACTGGTTCAGTTTATAAGTTTATCATGTATAATTTGGTTTCAACTTCAACGATCTTCATTCCAAACCATTTAAGGCATACCACAAGCTGAAACCAGTGGGTTGGTTTAAGCATGGACGGGAAAGTCACTCTTACAAAAATAGCCTTATAGTGTATTTTCAAGTCTTATGATTTTACAGGGGCAAGGTGTTTAACAATTGGGAAAGACAAATTATTTGGAGGTCATTGAGCTAAAAGTTATTAACTGAAAACTCATTCAAGGTTATTTAAATAAATATCCCATTCATGTATTGAGAGCAAATATCAATGTAGTTCAGAAAGGCATGATGCCTCCCTCCATTTTTAATCACATTCACCCTCTACGAAGTCCCAACAAAGGAAATTTCAATGTTCTTTATAAAAGGTCATATTTTTGCAATTTTGCATTTTCTCAAATTGTCCAAAAGAGGGGTAAAACATTACGCCCATGGACGACAATTACCATTATCTTTGCAAAACAAACTATAGTAAAGGAAGAAAGAAATTAAAAACCTTGCATCGCTGGGAAACATCTTGTGCAGCAAGCATAGCCGCATAGGGGGATGATTCATCTCTATCTGCCTTCACTTTCATGCCACCTAGAGAAGTAAGAGAAGGTTGGAAGATATACATATTAACAATAGAAATTAAAGACCAAACTCAAAGGAAGAAGTAGCAAGGGGAAATAAGTTCCTCAAAACAACTGCAGATCATACCAGTAATTCGGACCATGGTTTCTCTTCCAGAGATGTCAGTCACATGCTGCAGTAGACATAAAACAGTCATATAAATACATCATAAAATTACCAATTTCGATACAAACAAATATAGCTTCCAACTTACGATGAAAGTATCATTGAATGACGCAAAGATATGTGCCACACCAAAAACAAGCTCTCCTTCACGGGTAGCTGGTCCAAGAGTGACATTTTCTTCCTTTGGCTCTCTAACCTTTCTTTTCGACGACTGTTATACCAAACAAGTTTAGTAACGATAAAATAATCTAGTTACCAAGAAAAAACCAAGAATCCAATAACATTTGAGATCCCACTAAGAAAACAATCATCCAAACAGCCAGATATAGAATAATGGTCACATAACACAAGCATTTGCTTAACAAATTACAGTTTACGACTACAAATTGAACAACTAATACAACATATTTCACAAGCTTCTGAATAGAATGTTCAAATTCACCAACCAAACCCAACACTTGTAAGTACTTGTGACAATTAGACACAGGTCAAGAGAAAATAGAATCATATCAAATTGCATATACCATAACATCAAATCCTGCAAGTATTCCCTTGAAAAATAAAGCTCGCTAGAGGCCTTGGTAAGAACATCAAACCAAATCAATCGATTTTTTTTTAATTATACAAATTTTAGAATCCTCCGATAACAACAAATACATAGATTCAGCCATACAAACTAAGACTGAACAAAAAACTGTTAAATACAAGATAAACACCAATTAATATCAAACTCCCCTACACATTTTCCAAATAAAAATCGTATCTCAGTTAACCTAAACAGACTGATTTTAACATATTTCAAAAATAAAAGATCTACTAAAATGTAATTCAAGAAACTAGAGCGTACCATGGCTGCTAATGCGTCGAAAGTGATTTGGTGTCTTCAAAGGTCTGATTTGCAGCGGCACCAAGTTGTTATATGAAAATGAAACCCTAAACCTAGGTGTTCTATAAAAACGATGGTGGGTCATAATAGCGGGTCTGTTTTTGGGCTGGGCTTGAGTTGGGTCATTTAATTCATGTGCTCTCAGCAGCCCAGTCATAAGCTGTTAAGTTTAAATACATGAAATAGAAACTTATTTTTATAAATTTTTTTATTATAGTATTTTATTTTTGTTTTTCTTTATTATAACAATATACTTTCAAATTATTTTTTATTAAGGCATTATACTTTAAAAAATTTACTTATAATAGTAATGGATAACTTGTTACCTTTTAAACCGATTAATCTTTTGACTTTTTTGTTTGTGTGGTTTTAATGAGATGATGTGGATGACACATCATTGTGATGACTTAACTAAAATTAAAATAAAAATCTATTTTAAATTATTATCAGTAATTTTCATTTTTCATTGTTATGATCTAAAAAACATTAATTTTTTTTACTTTTTCTTATTAAGTTGCATGCAAATTAAATATTTTTAGAGTAAAATATTTATTAAATAAATATGAAATATTATTTTCGAGATATATTTTGTTTGTAAAAAAGGTAACTTTTCTATTTTTATTTTGTTCAAATAAATACATATCTTTTAAAGTTCTTTTCAAAATATTAACGAAATAAATTGTTATCCTACAAATTTTTTAATTTTGTTATATTAATAAATAATTGAAAAAAATCTAATTAATTTAATATATTTATATGTCAAGTAAAAAGTTTTTGAACAAATATAATTTATTCTTTAAAAGATAATATTTTTTGGTAAAAAAAACAATTCTTATTTTCCTTTTTTTTCAAAAAACACATATTTTTTTGAAAAATATTAGGGAGATAAGTTGTGTTCTACTAGTTTTATTGATATTAGTATATTAATAGTTTTATTGATATTAGTATATTAATGAATAATTTATAATTTAATTCATTTGATACATTTATTAAATAACATGTAAAATATCTAAATATTAAAATTAAAAATACAGTGTTCAATAAGAACTAGTAGATGATATAATAAAATAATTTTGAAAGTACATGATATAGTAAGAAAGTTACATCACTATAGTACATGTGGACAACCTACATGGACAATGAGGTGGCATGGAAACCTAGTATAATAGGTAATTTAAATCAAAAGGTTACCTAATGCTATAATGGGTAAATTTTTCAAAGTACAATGTACTAATAAAAAATAGTTTGAAAATACATTGCTGTAATATGAAAAACTGAAAGTACAATGCTATATTAAAGAAATTTATGAAAGTAGATTGCTATTTTGTGTATTTTGCCCTTTTAATTTCTTTAATTTTTTTCAAAAAAAAAAATCAATAATAAAAAAATAATTGCAACCTTTTTAGTTACACCATCCATTAGTTTATTTGTTAAATTAATTTTAATTATTTATATTGATTTATTGTAACCTTTTATATCATGATTACTATTATTTAAAGATTTATTAAAAAATAAATTTAGTATTTTTAATTACATAATTTTATAATTATGTTAATATAATACTTATATTAATATCAGTTAGTAATAAATAATAAAAATATGTACTATAAATTATAAAGTAATTGTTAACGTGATGGTAGAAATCATTTTGAAAGGTGTATGGTAATACATTGGTGCAGGAGATAATTAAAGTTAACCAGACCGTTTATTAAAGTTAACGGATGATTAAAGTGGAGTATAATTTATATCAGTTACGCATTTTGGTTAACAACTGGTTATATCATAACTAGTAACATGATAACAGTTTTTAACCAAGACCAATTATACATGGTTTTATTAGATGTTTCCGTTTTATCGTCAACAAAACTCTTCTCCCACGTGATTACTAAATGCAATAAAGTTATATGGTAATGACACTAGACGAATGATCATATGAGAATAGGAGTTACGGTGAGAAACATAAGAGATATGTACTATTAATCACTTTTAATCTTATTCCCACCCATGAATTGCGCTTATCATGGGAATTGATCCAGAATGCACCGTATGAATGTAGATATTTAACTAAGATTGATCCAATGGTGGAGAACCTTCTTACCCTTCTCACAATAACTATAATTCTCACCGGAACCTAACCCAATGAAACTAAACGTTTGCTTAACGGCTTATTTAGTCATTTATACATGATTATTTTGTAGTGCATTAATGATATATAAAGTGGTTTATTAAGTAAACTTCTAAGAGAGCTTTATGTAGAAAGCCAAAAAAATTCAAATGTCTTTCCCAACTAAAAACTTGCTCCTTCAATCTATAGAAGAATCTTCCGAAACAATAAGCTTCTCAATCCATACAAATAAATTAATCCATTTAGACGGTTTTATTCATACATGAGTTAATGAAAAACTAACCGAAGAGCCACTAACTTGCATTATGTGTAGTATGACCAGCATTAATAAATAAAGTTATGGTTAACATACCAAATAATAAATAAAGTTTACAAAGAAAGCCAAAACCTATAATATTGCTCAACACTAATCTTGGAACACAGTTACATAAGCAATACAGTCTGAAAAAATAAAAAGCTAAGCTTTATGTATGTATCTAGAAGTTATATGTTGACAGAAAACTTGAAAACGCTATCACATCCACCCATGTTGGAAAACTATCCTTCAATTTCTTCATTGATTCCATCAAGTATTGTTCTACAACACCAACATCAATATGTATAGCTCCCGAACTATTTGTCTGCAAATTAACACACATACATCTCATAATTCATGCAAACGAGAATATTATGTCCTTTTATAGATGCCAATTATATTCTAAAACGTAAGAGGATGCATATATGATATTGCTAGCTATTATACAAGTATGAGCATATATATATATTTATATATATATATATATATATATATATATATATATATATATATGTGTGTGTGTGTGTGTGTGGAGGGGGGGGGTCAGGTTCGGAGGTAAACTACAAAAAAATGAAAAACTGAAGTACACCCTCGTAATCATTCATCTGTACAGCATGCACATGTGCATACAAGTAATTTTTCCAATATGCATATGTGCATAGAAACCAAGAAACATCTTTGATTACTTCAATAATCATTTACAAACCCAATAAATTATACAAACTTACATACAAGTTTCCATGTGTTGTTTCCCATATGAAACAACACTTTAATTATACAATATTGTTTCATAGGTGACACGTTTAGGACTGTTTTGTATGTGGAATAAAACAGTCATGAACATTTCATATATGAAAGAACACTGCATTTTTCAAATGTGTTGAGAGAACACATGAAAATTGGTTTGTAAGTTTGTATGAGTTATTAGGTTTGTAAGAACAGAGGACTATATATATAGCAATTGAAGACTACAGCTAGAAGAAGGAAGAGTAGTGTTTCATACCTCCAACCAAAAGGTCCAGTTTTCCTGAGCAACACCACTAAGTCTACATATGTATGATGGAGGACCACCTTTCACAATTTCAGGAGCTACATAAAGTAACAACACATCACTTACAATCTTTATTTTGCAAGCACCTTTAACCCATTCCATTAATGGCTTTTCAAAATAACTTAAATGAAGGAATTCAAGGAAATATAGTCTTTCTTTTTCACCTGGAAGGGTTCCGTCTGCAAACGACCAACCAGAAATTGGGCCTGTAATGTTTAGGACTGCAACCCATACCTCCTTCAATGAACTGAACATCAAACATCAACAAATATATCAACTTCTGTATATATCCATCGCGATAACTGCTATATCAAATTACAGTCCTACCTTTATTTCAGATTTTGACCGCTATAACTGCTTGGCACAAAAGTCTATTGTTGTGTTTTGTGATAACCAGAATGGAGAAGTAAAAGAGAGGAAAGAAGCATAAAGATTCAAGTGTAACAAGTGCGTATTGATCGTTTTGACTTACCCCAATGAAAATTCCAAGTAAATTCTGCGGGAACCATCGACTGAGGTAGTCTCTTGCTTAGTACTGGATATAATAGGAAAATACTTGTAATGCTTCGAGATTTCATCTCTTCTTGCAGGGAAATTTAAGCTTCTAGAAAACAAGGACGACAGGGGATATATTGCCTGACAAAAGGAACAACCTCGATAAGTATACCTTACCAGAATGAATGCTTCAAAGAGCTTATTGTTCTCTAAAATGGCTTGAAGAATTTGAATTTCTGTATTAAGTCATTTACCATCCATGCCTCTCGGCTAGACTGATTAGCAGTGTCAAATGAAAAATCTGAATCTACATTCAGCTCCTTAGCTACTTCAGGAGCATGCTTGAAAAGGAAAGGTAATGCATTGGAGTCCAGTACAGACAAAGCATAACTGGTATCATCTATTTGCCAGGCATCTGCTTATCACAGAGGTTAAAAGTTGATTAGAAGATACTATGGTAATCAAATGTTAAGCATAAATTATAATATCATCACAAGAATGAAATGAATATCAAGAAGTTACTTGTGCCATAACAGGAAAATAGGTCATTCAACATTGGACTATCAATAGACAAACGATATGGATAAGAATAATAGCTTTTAGGCATAATCATACTAGAAAGAGGTTCAGGGGAGAACCCCAGAAAAACACCCGGCAACCATTCATTTGGATGGTACGCACATGTGCATACAAGTAATTGAAGAAGTTTCTTGGTTTTTATGCACGTGTACATACTGGACAAATTGCTTACAAATTACTTGTATGCATATGTCCATACCATCCCGATGAGCGGTTACCAGGGTATTACTCAGTTTTTCATTTTTTTGCGGTTTTCTCCAAAACCTGACCCAATCATACTAAATATCACAAAACATTTTTATTAGGGATAACGTATCAACAGACATCTACATAACAAGGATGGAATGCATAGGGAAAGCATTTGACTCGGTTTGCTTACAAATTACAATACCTGAAGTAACGACGGTATGCTGTAAAACGACCCTTTTTGGCGCATCTGTGCTGTATGGAAAAAATTGCGATGTCAGGGCCAAGGCAATCACACTGGTATGCAGCAAGAACTGCATAATAGATGATCTGGCTAACCAATGACCAGTAACTGGTAAAATAGGTCCCACACACACACCAGTCACTGCTCCGATTGTTGCTGCCACTATAACATCAGGAATGAAGTACCCTGTGATCAATGTCAAAACATGACCATATCTCAGTAATCTCTAGATAAATGATTATGGTGTATATATACCCAAGAACTTGAGATACGAAATGCAATTAGCACAAATAAAAGCAAAACATTTTTACTCTACTGTTCAGAGTTTTTAGTTCTGACTTTTGAGAAGTTATAGTGGATAGAAGACACCAACTTTGACTTTAACTTACCATATGTACACCATTGAGATAATGAAACTAATTTTACCGGCTGTTTGGTACTAACCATGAGGAAGTGGAAGAGATCCCATCATACCCATTTTCTCAATTAAAAACTGAGCTAGAAACCCAGAAAAATAGACAGAATGCAAGAGGCAAGGTAACGAAGGTAGCAAAAAACAGGCGGCTGACCTGAGAAACAACTTCAAGTTAGACATCAAAGTTAAGGAAATGCATAACCCCAACACAAAATCATCAGCAGAATATAGGGTTGGAGATTGACATAAGAAACAATTATCTGATATTTATTCAAACTGCAAATAGATGACTGATTCAATAAGAACAAGAAATGGGTGGGATTCAAGAAGCTACATATGCTTACATTAGTGATTCACGACCATAATGCTTGACAGATAAATGGAAGAAAATCCATGCAGGAAGCATAAAAGCAGCCAACGACAAAGTCAAGAAACCTCCACTTAATCCAGCAAAAAAATAAGCCTGCTTTTAGAAAGCTGCATCAGCTTCAGTTGTAATTCAAATGCTAGTATAAGAATTAAAGATTAACTAAATTGTGCATCAAGGAAATCTGCCGAAACAAGAAATTTTATGCCGTAGAGTTAAAATGATTATAACAATACACACCATACTAATGAAAGCATATAAGCCAAATGCTCCCCAGAACCGCGCTTGATCAGCAAGTTCCTGCATAATTCAAGGGAAAAACACATCATTCTAAGAACTCATCATGTTAAGACGTTGCCAAGAAAACTTCCACTGATGCAAATAAGACAAAAAACAATGATCACATAAAATATTCTCAGATCCTTAATTTCTGATGTAAAGGGAAAACAAGTCATAAGAGTAAGGATCTGCTTATTTGCAGCTTAATGAGCTTAACAAGACTCGAATTATTCGGTCAGCTATACATGAATGTTTGGTAATGGCTTAATGATATTGAAAGTGGCTTACCAATAAGCTTCTAAAGGGGAGCTATATGAAGAAAGCCAAGATTTTTCCAACCCTGTCACTCCCAATCAAAAACACGCTCATTCCATCTATGAAAAACTCTCCCAAACAAGAATCTTCCCGATCTATATACTCAGATTAATCCACACAGACAGATTTATCCATACAGGACCTACTGAAAAACCAACCAAACAGCCACTAAGACTAATATAAATTTTCAGAACTGAACAAGGGTCATATTTAATGCATATCGAGAGTCAACATGTATTTTATATAATTAATGGTATGGCACCAAGTTTCTCCTTTATTTTTCTGTTTTATAATTTCGTATTTTGCCTCTCTCTATCATTTTAACATTTTATTGCCACATCCAACAACTTTTTAGAACGAACCCAACTATTCTACAAGGGTTTTGATCTATGATGCCATGTCAAATTCCGCATGATTATTAGTCTATTCAACCAAGAATTCAAGGATCTATCACTTTGTTTTTTAGATGAGAGACGGAGGGTGGAAAAGAACTCTAAACCTCAATCATCCATCTTGCTAATCTCGGTCTAAACTCTAAAATGCATCATTCCATCTTTAATATTCTCACATTTGCTAGTATGGAGTTGTAGATGTCATAAAATCTTGAGACAAAACCGAAGTATAGATGTAAGTCTTTTTGACTTACAAAGTGACTAAGAAAAGAAAAGTTGAAGAAACAAAGTGATCAAGTATAAATCAGACAGGAGAGTAAACTGAAAGGGGACTACAATAAAGATATGCCACTTCCATAACAATTGATTATTCATATTTCCCTTGCTAATGGCAATTCTCCCAACTCCAACATCACCTCTTTCGCATGTTTCTTTCTCAAGTTGTGACTGACTAAGTTGTCTCTCCCTCTCTAGTTGCCAATCAAGTCATTCATATCATTAGACCTTTGTCACTGAAAACACTGATAAGACATAAGCTCTTAAAAACCTCATTGCCATCTCCTCCCATGTGTCCTGGTATACCTGATGCAAAGAGTATCCTTTTTACATACTCTAGAAAAAGAAAAGGGTAGAGTGGCGTTTTTGTATGGGGAGTTGGGAGTTGTAAACTGTGCAACAGATTGTACCAAATTTGTGTAGTCAGAGAGAGTAAGTAGTTGTCAGGGTATACATAAGTGGTCTGTGCAAAGTAGAGGGGTATTGAAATTGTGTAAACTGAGTGGAGGGATTATCCACCTCTTGAAAGTGGATTTGCTGCGAATAAAAGCATTTGCCGGTCATGTTTTATTGCAATTTCCATTCCAATCTTATTAATACTGTATGAAACCTCAGGCACTCTTCTTTTGATAAACCATCTGCCACCATTTTGGACCAGTGTCCATCAACCATCAACTAAAACCCAAAGGAAGCATCTTCGTGTCATTAAATAGTGATCTGAGTCGGTATGTTCTTCATTCAATTAACTCTAGTAATGAACAGGAACTCAAAAGGTGGAAATAGCGCCTATTACGGATAAAGTGAGAGAGGGAAGACTGCTATGGTTTGGGCACATTAGGAGGAGATAGTTGTTGGCAGCAATGAGGAGGGTGGAGAGAGTTAGCATCGAGGGTGTAAGGAGGGGAAGGTCGAGGAGAACATGGGACGAGTAACTAAGAAAGAACATGGCAGCCTCAGACATTTCAGAAGACATGACCTCAGAATCTCAGATAAAAGTTTGTGAAGAATGTATAATAGCAGTTTGTGTGTAAGGATTTGTGGATGATGGGGACAGGGGAGGGGGGGTGGAAAGAGAGAGGGTGTGTGGGGGTAGGGTTAGAGAGTCGATAGCTAGGTATTAGTGCCGTAGGATCGGGGAGAGTTAAGAGGCCATCGCTTTTTCATCCTTACTTGATGGTTTCTATCATGTATTTTTTTTTAATCTTTTCCTTCTTTCACAAAAAATTTCAAAACTTTAGGAAACCATTTTTTGGTGGCAGAATCCTTTCTCTAAACCTGTTTACAAGTGGGGGTCTTAACAAAAACAGCCTCTCTAACCCTCAGGGTAGAAGTAGGGTCTACATAGATCCTATCCTACCATCCCCAAACCCTACTCCGTATGGATTCAATGTGTTCAACATCCAACCCTTTCAAACCCTGCTCCGTGTGGGATTCACAGAGTTTAACGTCGGTACCCTACCCAAACCCTACTCCATGTGGGATTCACTAGGAAACGTAATGAAACAAATGAGGTGTAAATTTTACAATGATTTAAATGACAAACTTCTCAATATAATCCGTGTACTAGGCAAGCATAGGAATTGTAATGAAACAAATTGAAAAAATAAAAAACAAACCTCTTTTGAAGATTTTAGAAGATAACCAGCTTGAGAGAGAGGGAAAAAATTCCAATATATTGTTGGAATTAACATCCCAGCAAGTGAGCATGGAACAAACATCATATAAGCCAAGTAAGGACGAGCGAACCTACATTTGAGAACAGAAGATTGACAAGTTTTAGTATGTATCCCCACTAAAATCATCGTCCGATGCCACAATAATTGATATATCTGTATAAATCAGATATAAAAAGATAGGAACTAAGAATTAATGAAAATTTTGCAACTTCTAAACTCAAAGCCATTAGTAACTTGCAGCAAGTAGCAACAAGATGTGAAAATAATCATCTTAGAGCATTTGTTCAGCAAGATCAGGAAACTAAGTGTGAAACTTATAATACAAGAGTATGTAAAAGTGTTAAATTGACAAACAAGCAAAAAACTTAATTGCCTCCAAGAAGAAAAGCTCCTCACCAGTTCATCGACTGTCCAGAGAAAAGCAACCTAGAGATAGAAAAGATAATTGGGAGTATAACTGCAAATATAACCCCAATAACATGAAAGAAAATTCCTGCAATACCCAAATGGCACATTCAACAGATCAAATAATTAGATTGGGTTCAGAACTCACAATAAACAACTGTTTAAACTGCAGTGAAACTAGCTACCTTTGATGAAGTCGAATAAGGCAGCAAATGAGCATAGCAGGCCAAACTTGGAAAAGCGCAGAAAAAATGGAGTAAGTAGGAAGATGGCGACAGGGATGCTATGAAATACCAATCCTTGCCTTCTAGAATAGTAAACCTGAATTTTAATAACAAACTTTAGAAAACAAACTCGTCCATATTTTGTTCAACTACTAAGAGCATCTCCAATAGATTCGCCAAAAAATTTCCAAATTGGAGGATGAAACTTCAACATCTCTAAAACAAAATACATGCAACTCCAGCAGATTCTCCATTTTGGATATTACAACATTGATTATATTATTAAAATATTCCTTTCATCTAATAAAATATTATTTCTCTCTCAAAATATATATTTCCAAAGTCTTATATTGGTGGAAACATATTAAATAATATTTCTCTCTCATTGTAATCATTTTTGGGGTGTTCTCCAAATTTGGAGATTTTAACACTCTCCTACTTTCTCCATTTTGAAGAAAGGTTTTGAAGAATCTGTTAGAGCAAAAAACATGCCCAAAATCCCTAAAATATCTATTTTCTCCATTTTGGGGAATCTGTTAGAGATGCTCTAACTATTGGTAAAGGTTTTAGTTGTAGCATACAAAGAACCATGATAAGTAATCGAAAAACATAGGCTGCTCATCATGACTTCCGACACCAGAACCTCTATTAAGTCCTCTATCATGGGCATTTTCCAGCTTAGATGAATTGGTGAAAGCTTTAAGTAGACTGAATAAGTTGTCCCCACGAGCTTGAATGCTTCCAGGTCTAGTTGACAAAAATGTGCATGCATTAGAGAATTCACATGAGGCAGAGAAGTCACAGAATTGCAAATTAGTGAAATGTACCAAAGTAGCAGTGGTAATTCATACAATAATCTTTCTACCGTATCAGTTGAGGTATGGTAAAAATAACCGCCATGGAGAAAGATAATGTCCAGTCCAGGAATGCTACCAAAGTCGGTGGCAAACATTCTATAGTCCGTATCGCCAGGAACAAAAGCAAAAATGTCCTGCATGCAAAGCAAAAAAAATGTAGCAAAAGCTATGTTCACTAATGAAGAACGTCACAAACTTTAAAGCTACTGAAAATAGAAAGTAGATATTGATGACATGAAGATCCACCTAGATCATTTGAAGCCATTGGCAGAAGAAAACATTCCACCATGCAATATAGATATATGCTTGACAGGAAAGGTTTGCCGCCAAAAGCTATTAATGAGCAACATTGGTATTAATTTTTAGCAAAAGCTAAGAACCAACATTGATTTTTTAAGCTAGCATGATAGTACTTAATACTTAAAACTTCGACCACCTAAAAAAAACGCTTGGAACTAGAGCACCATTTATAGACAGCAGAGCAAGAAAAAAGACAGTGATCTTCATCATGCCTTTTTGATATGTCAACATTGTCAAAGAAATAATAAAACAAAGATTTAAACACCAAGAAACTTTGAAATTATTCTTGAAGGAGTAGAGAAGTGTAAAAACCTGAGCCGCACTATTGCCCATAGGATGTACAGCTGATTGAGCATACACTTGAGAAGGCCAAGACCCAGGTCCAGATTGGCAGACAAGATCTGTAATTTCAACATAGTAATGATATTCTCTGGAAAATAAAAAGCTCAAGAAGATAATCACACCAGAACATTGTAAGGGGAAATATTAAGAAAGCCCAGATGATGCTATACAATATACTCATATTTCTCACTTAACTTGGCTGATCATGCAGTCTTATTTTCAATGATTTCAACCATGTTTATCACACATAGGCAATCAATTGATTAAAAGCATAGGTAGCTCCGGAAAACACACAGTGGGTTAGTGCTACATACTATGGAAGAGAAAACATAAGTAAGGGGATGTATATTAACATCAAAGGACCTTAGCTTGCATACAGATTTGGGATAAAAGATCCTTTATTTTTAGCATTTTTCTGTCACTATGCTGCCTTCTAGTGGAAAGCAGGTGCCTTCTAGACGCTACCTCCACGTGTGATATATAATATATTGGGTTCGTTTTGTTTTGGTTTTTGGTTCTTTTGAGTTTTGAAGTCAAATGAACTCCTTAACTTTAGGACTTTACATAAAGTTACTTGGTTACAAGCCGGAAAAAAAAAAAGTGATAGCTGCATTAGTATGTATGAGATGTACTGCAAATGAAAAACTCCTGAAAATGTACACAAACAAAAATTAGTTTGGAAGTTGGGGTTCAACATTCACAATCAAAGGACTCCCCATATCATACGATTAAGGCAGTACTATTTTTCATGGATAACAGAAGTAAGCACAACCCAGGGCCTTCAAGGAAACAGCCGCTCTACTCTTTGGGGTAGAGGAGGTCTGTGCACATCCCACCCGTCCTAGACCATACTTTCTAGTGGGATATACTAGATTGGTTTGGTTTAACTAAAATAAGGACATTCTTGAACATGAAATAGGTGATGGAACAGTATATCAGTTTGACAAATAGAATTATATACAAGACTACTTAGGTTAAGTTCATTGACAATGTAGACTGTCAATCCCTTAAAAGTGGCTAGAATAACAAAAATTACGAACTTGAAAAGAGAAGATCAATAAAACGTGAAAGATAAGAAACAAACATGAATAGTTTGTTTATGACTCAAATTTCCACCAGAGTCTACATTAATCACAAAAGTTCAACAATAGTCCACATCAATCAATTAGGTCATAACAAAACCCATTTATCTTGTCATGTTAGAAATTTAAAAAGCCTTGACCACATACCAAGCCCTCCTGTCCCAGATGCTTCCAAATTTATAAAAGCTCCAATTGTATTGCGCCATTTATGTGTTGTTATAAAGCCATGTGAACCCTGAGAAGTAAGCATATTAACTATTACAAAAGTAGCATCCATAGAATCCTTTAATAAATCATACCAGCACACACATTGGAAAGATAGACACTGTAGAAAAATCGAAATTCACAGGCCACTGATAATTCCTAAAAGGTTAAAGGACAAGAAAGATTGTCAAATATGTGCTTGAAACCAAGATCTTGTGGGCCTTGTAACATGCGCAATTCTTGCTTCAAATATTGAACAATAGAAAATAGGCGATTTATCATAAGTTGACAACCGACTGACAACGCAGACGGCATATCAATTGTGTATGTCACAATAAGGTAAAACTAACTACCATCTGCAAATAACACCAAGAGATCAAACTTTAGTTTGACATAAATGTAAGACATTAGGACTATATTAAAGTTATATTGCATTAAAGGTGATTTTGCTATATCCTCTAAACTATCTAACACTTCAAAATTGCACAGTGCAAAATGCAGAGATGTGGCAATACCCAGGTTCTAAACTAGATGGGAGAAAACTGAGGAAAAGTAACTTCACAATGAAGTAAAAGCATTTCTTCCTGGTTGAAGGGTGTGTTACAGACCTAAAAATGTGATCACATGCTCTATCTGACAGTTTTCTGAAGCAGCAAAAGCCAAAGTAATCGCCCTGAGGGCACTTCATCACACCAGAACAGTAAAACTATGCTTCAACTAGAGCAGAACGGTGAAGTTGGTGCCATTATATAAACATTTTGGTGGTGTTTGTTTAATATTTGATTATAGTCACCCAAACATGTTTAGAACGATACTTTGCCACCAGAGGATACATTTTGAGAGGCTAAATATTAATTTGACTTCATAGTTTGAAGCTAACTATAAAAGGTTTAGGAGATACATGGTAGGAAAGAAAAGGCAAAAGTTTCCAATCTATGAAAAGACTGTGGATCTGCAAGGACACATCAACTGAACCAAGGAGGTGATTTTCAGAACTACAGTTTTAATTTTGCAAATTTCCTTTTCAAGCAGGATTGCCTTGCTCATACCAAATATATCGAGTAGATAAACACCTTTAGCAGTTCAAATAACTATCACTCAAGAATTTCGTTAGGGAGCTATAAAGTAATTGCCCTTGTTGCCTAATTTCTTCCTTTAAGGTTAAATATTATAGCATAACATTACTTACAAGCATAAAAAGTTCTTCCGCACCATTGAACAGAAATATAAGTGGTTTAGGAGGAGCCCAGCCAGAATCAATTGTTAGCCGTGCTACCTCCAATATAGATGCTGCAAGAAAAAAAATTTGATGAAATTTAGAAGAGATATTTAAGATGAACATCGATCATGAAAAAGAAAGGGTAACAGACGGAGCATACCAACACATGAACCACAATCACTGGCACCTGGCGAACCAGGCGGACTATCAAAATGTCCATTCAATAAAATGGCAGGGTCTCCATCTTTTGATTCTAATGAAGAAACCCTGCAAATTAGCTCAAGTTAAACCCAAGTGGAATTGGACAAAAGAGTGGGAAACTGTTAGACGTAATGAGAGGCAACTACTGAGTAAATATCCTTTGTTCTTTAAACTTAATTGTTGGTCCTTGTCAAGGATTGTTTTGTGGAAGACATGGTGTAAATCTTACTTCCATCAAGACCACAACCTTTGGCCACACAACCTACTCCATTGTGTTACGTATATGTGCTGCAGATTATGTGTAGTTCCCACACTATTTGTGGTAGAAGTAATTGGGAAAATGACTGAACTAAAAATATATTTCCCCTTGATCTGAGAGTACTTCAAAATTATTACTGTAATTAGTAAGTTTCGTTGTTGCACGCCTGGAACTCCAAGATGGTGCTACTTATATAAATGTCGCTGAGAATTGAAACTCATTACCACTACCAACAGGTAAATATGCTTCAAATCTTGACAAACTATATCGACAGAATACATGTTTCATCCCAATAAGCTGGAATTTGGCCTACTAACCATACAGCATGATATCAGCAAAGGGAAACAAAAGATTGATGATATGGTCAGTTGTCAGTATCTTAAAGTACCTCATTACTATATTCGTGTGATTCCTATATCCAAGAGACAAGCTGTGGCCTAGAAACATCATATTGAAAGAGCCATTAACTATATTTTCCTCGATTTCAATCCTGAAACAATAAATAAATAAATAAATAAACCTTTATTGGTTGTATATTTTTCTTGTAAAAAGAGTAAACAAAAACATGCATCAGTGTACCAACCTTACATTAGATCCAGCGCGATCCTTCAACATTTCCAATTGTGTCCTAATATATTTAGCAGCATCGTGTAAACCTTGACGCCCTTCCTATCATTAATCACACGAAAATATTTATCAAGATTCTGATATGATTGAAGTCTGTATGCTGTTTCACTGGCAGCATGTGAGGAGGACATAAAAATAAAAGAATCAGCACAAACGTTTTTATATGGCATGTACTTTTTAGGCCTGTCCTCTTGTTACCCATTCATGCTACAAATTTATAGGCTGTGAGCTGTTTCTTGGTTCCATTACTCACAACATTTATTACAACAAAGTGCACCAGTGGCAACCAAAGAAGTTTGTAAATGAATAAATTCACAGCATAAATTTGAAAATCAAGCTTGAACCCCATTAAAAAAATTATGCAGTCAAGTAAAAACACTAAAGATAAGCAGGTGGTCGCTCTGGGATTAGTCGGCTTGCATAATGGGTTGGATATCCAGGTCAATTAAAAAAAAAGGTCAAAAGATATTCTATACTTTCATCATCAACACCTGGATTTTATTTTTTTCATTGAAATCAGCTGGTGGACCAGTTTATGGTGAGCCATCATCAGTGGGATATACTATATGAGCATCATAATGATAACCATGGTGGGTGGCAAGCGTTCAGCTTGAATTCACATTAAGTACATGAGTTAACAATTCACCAGAACAAACTTTCTCCAGCCAGGAAAGGAGTACCAAAAGTGTCCATAAATGTCCATATAAGTTCACCAATCAGTCAATTACAGGTCCACCTGTATTATTATTTTTGTATACCAATTCACTTTGTTCTTCATTCTCAATCCTCCATTTTATGGCCCCATCTTAATCTTTCTTTAGATGGACCCACTATTTTCATCTTTGTTTCTTCTTAGGCCATTTAAATGGACGGTGATATGAAAATGTCAAAGTAGTGAAAACTAAGCTTGTCTAGATTTAGCACTATCCCTTCACGTGGAATCATATGTGATGACTTTCATTGCATCGAATCTTAGTGCAAAAATCATCACCAACATAAGGAAAGGAAAACACCAGTTAAACTCATGGAAAACACGATAATTTCCAAAACTAGAGGCATGATGGCAAGTTTAGTCACGTGAGTTCATCTAAACGCAAAAGGTGGTAGATCGATAGTCCAATCAGTTACATCGAGATTGAGTAAGCATTTCACTTTGGAAAATGCTGGGAGCCAACTGGTTTCACTTTAGTTTGGAAAGCAAACACGGATGTATTTATACACGTATGTATTCGATATAAATTCCAAAAACTCCTTTTCACATAAGAAAACAATACCATAAACTTACAAATTACGATCAACACACAGAGAAGCTTAAGCGTGTTTATGTATGTATATGTGTGTGATCATGTGAAGTCGTGAAGACATTTACCTGACGACCGTCAATTTCATGAGCCAAAACACGGATGTGTTCAATGGCTCTGGCTTCAGAGAATCGATCGAGAGGAGCATCGATGGATAAAGGGGTAATAAACTTCAAATGCGTGACGTAATAGGCTACCATTGACAAAACTCCATACATAATCGCCATGGAAAAGAGTAGTTTGAATCCGGCGACATCGCCGGAGGTTAACCTGGACATAAAGAAAGGGTTTTGAGGGAGGACTGAGGAGTGAGGCGGGATTTGAAAAATGTGAAGTGAATCAAAGGTGTTGTTGGTTATTTATATATGGAATGGGAATACGATGATTGATGATTGGTATCGTTTTGAAATTCTAAAATGGCGTCACGCATTTGGACCCGTGGTTTAAAGTCCCTCATTTTCATACGCCATTGCAAACATATTCACAAATTAATTTTCATTCATTCTTTTTTATTTATTCTGAATAAAAATTTGGGTTTTTGGAGGAATAAATTTATTATGTATATTATATTATAAAGTATTTGACAAAAACTCATAAAAACGAATTTTTATGCACGAAATAATGTGTTTATTGATGCATAAAAATGAAGATTACAATTACATTATGCATAAGTACAATTTATTAAAGCTTCATACTTGAATTTGTTTAACTAATTACAGATAAACATAATCAAATATTGGATAAACATCTCATTTTAAATATAAAAATCTAAAATATAATTAAGATAATCATTGATAACTAACAGAGTACTTAGTTATTATCTTTATAAAAAATTATATTATTAAACCTAAATTAAATTATAATTAAAAAAATTTAATTAATGAAATTATACCAAAACACATGAACTTTTAAAAAGATTAATTTAATACTGACGTCGATATTATTATATTTTTTTCAAACTTTTATGATATTTTTAAATTTATATTTTATTCAAAAATAAAAACATTATCACTTTTTCAAAACCACATAAAACCAATGTTACTTAAAATTTAAGATTACAAGTAAATTATGTATAAGTACAACTTATTAAAGCTCGATATTTGAATTCGTATAACTAACTGCGGATAAACATAATAAAATAGAGGATAAACATCTTATTTTAAAATATAAAAAATCTAAAATATAATTAGGATACTTATCGAGTTCTAACAAAATAATTAATTATTATCTTTATAAGAAAATTATATTGTTAAACCAAATATAATTTACTTCGTTATTGTACCTAAATTAAATTATAATAAAAAAAAACCGATTTAAAAAGTTACACTAAAAATGAGGAATTTTAAATAGTTAATTTGATATTAATATCGATATATTTTTGTCAAATTTTTTTGATATCTTCAAACTTATATTTTATTCAAAAATAAAACATCATCGTTTTCTCAAAATCACATAAGACCATATTATAACATCGACCGAGATAAATAATAAAATGAAATATTAAAATTAGAATGTATCTCGCTGCATTGCGCGAGTACCTTTCTAGTATTATATAAAATCAAACCGTTTTTATTATTTTTATTTTTTATTAATTATTGTTTAATATTTTTGTAAAACCTTATTTTCCTAAAACCTTTTTATAATCTTGTTTATTCACTTTGTGATGTATATTAACGCTATTTTGAACTCAATTTTTGAATAAACTTTTGTAATTATTTTATTTTGGTATTAAAAATTAAATTATTTATTTTAAAAATATTTAATGCATGATTCAATTAAATTTAAAATTTAAATCGTATATAATAAATGAACTATTATATTTTGACTATTAAATACTATGTTATTTATCATGTTGTACTTTGTGCTTTATAATTTTCATAATAAAACAAACACGTAAAATTGTTGGAAATATGTCGAAAAAAATGAACAGTTTTTAAAAAAATTACTGTTTGAAAATAAGTGCATAGTTGCAAAATATTTTTTGATAATTATCTTGTATATTCATGATTAAATATATAATCTACATTATCGGAAGTAAAAAAGACAATTATATTTATATATGGTTGGGTTCACGTGAGACAAGGTTGTTTAACTTGTTTTCGTGAGATACAATTTTTACACTTGAATCTTCATAACAATATGTTGTGAAAGTAAAAAAAAAATTGAATTTTCAGAGCAAAAACATTGTGAATGTTATCTTTACAATGTTTTGTTGTGAAATTTCAAATGTAAAAAAATCGTATCTCACGAAAACAATTTTGTCTCACATGACCCCAAGTTTCTCTCTCTCTTTATATATATATATATATATATATAATTTACTTTTATACTTCAGTATCATCTCTTATCAATCAAACTTTTAATATATATACATATATATATATATATAGGGTTGGGTTCACGTGAGACCAGCCTTCTCGTGAGACCCGTGAGACCACATTTTTACACGTAAACTTCACAACAAAAACGCTGTGAATGTTTAAAAAAAATCAAACCTTCACAGCAAAAACACTGTGAAGGTTTTAAAAAGTTACCTTCACAGCATTTYGCTGTGAAGTTTCAAGTGTAAAATGCTGGTCTCACGGGTCTCACGAAAACAGACTGGTCTCACATGATCCCAAGTCTATATATATATATATATAAAAGAGTATATTTCGGTGGCCTTTTTTTCCACTTGTCATACATCATGCAAAATAAATTATGATAGAATTCATAGTTGAAATTTTTAACATAATAACTAATTAGAGTCCGGGTCTTTTTCTTCATTTGGTAATATGTCCTTTTTACATTATTATATGTTACTTATTTGTTTTGATTACGTATTCTGACTTTTGGTCTAAAAAGTCGCAACATGTAATTATAATATTGAAGAGTTTTTTTCTAGATAAATTTATAATGTTTTTACATTGTCTTAATATAACACTTAAAAAAATTCAATAACATAGAGAAAACTCGAATTGGCAACCTATGAGAAAAAGCTCTAAAATTCGGCTTCGAATTATCAGTTGACCCAAAATGAACTGCCAAAACAAAATTATGATTTTTAAGAAAATAATTCGTTTTACACGTGATTACAGAGCAGTCCAAATCAAGTTACTTCGAGGTTGTCAGAGTCATGACTTGTAATGATAAGAAATCTTGGTGTGTTATGTAGTGATGGAACTAGGAAATGGAGAGTAAGTTTTTGTAGTTAATGAAATAATATTTATCAGTTATATAAAACTACAAACTAAATGGTTATCTTTTCTGAAAAGAAGAAATATAAACCATAAGGGTGGTGTTCAATTGGTTTAAGTGTGGCCTTCAAAGATCAAAAGTTGAAGAAGTTTGATATTGGGGTCACAAAAATAAATGTCGAGGCACAAGCGAACAATAAAAGTGGTTATTGTAGCTTCAGTGTAGTCACTCGTGGGAGCAATGGGAACATGTTGTTCGCGAGTGAGCAAGGGGTTCATAGCATAGCCTTAAGAGTCAAGCCGGAGTCATCGTTGAATTGAGGGCTCTTCACATGGGTATTGGGTTGGCGTATGAGAAGAAGGTGGATAATTTCATTATTGAATCTAATTAAAGTAACGCAGTTAATATCCTTAACATCACAATCCATTTATGCTCTGATTTTATATGGAATCGTTGTCAAAATAAAGTATTTTATTCCTAATTGGGTTTTTTGGGGTTTAAATTCAAGCATAGCGAGGCTAATAACTTAGCTCACTGATTAGCGCATGATGCTTTGGTTAACAAAGTGACTGCATTTTGCATGGATGGACCCCGGCTGTTTATGTATGTCATTTCTTCATCTGTCCCTCGTACTGTAAAAAATTACAGGGTCGTGAAAAGTGTCATTGTATCAATTTGTTTCGTGTCACCATATATGTTTTAAAACTACAACAAGGATACAACTTTTCTTTAGTAGAGTTGGTTTGCAAAACCTTTCTTCCACCCCAAACATGAGTTCAAATTCCTATTATTAGTTTTTAGCTTTAAATTTCAGATTTAGTATGTTTCTGAAGAAAAAATTGCAATAAAATACTTGAACACCCTCACATATGAAAAGCCCTAACCTACAAACCAATAATGATTTTGTGAAAAGTATCTTTACATTTATTTTTTATAATCAAATGGTGTCATCGCTTAAAAAAAATTACGAACCTGTTACCTGTCCTCCTTGGCCTTTGGATTGGAGATTTGCCTCATGATGTATACTCTACGACTAAATCAAAAACACCAAATCTTTTATAACTGTTCAGTTTATATAATTGTTTACCATTTAAAAAGAACTTGTTACATGGTCCTTTTAGAACGCCTAACTAGAAAGGTATTGTTTAAATCAAATTTATTTTCAGTAAGTGAAGCGTTGCATTCATAATTGAATTGAAATAAAGAACGATAATTAAAGTTATAGCTTATAGACCTCATTAATTAATCATTAAATACATACAAAAAAGCACGTCATAATTCGATCATTTTGCATTTATTTTTAAGACTAGAAGGATGCTCGCATAATATAGCGAGTTATATTTCAATTTTAATATTTCGTTTTATTATTTGTGTATGTCGATATAATATGGTTTTTAGTGGTTTTGAGAAAGCCGATAATGTTTTATTTTTGAATAAAATATAAATTTAAATATATCATAAAAACTTGAAAAAAAAAAATATAGATATTAATATCAAATTTACTATTTAAAGTTCTGATTTTTTGTGTAATTTATTTAATTCAATATTTTATTTATAATTTACTTTAGATATAACTAATGTTATCCTAATTATATTTTAGATTTTTTATATTTAAAACGAGACATTTATTATGTATTTGATTATATTTATCTATAGTTAGTTACACAAATTCAAAAATAAAGTTTTAATAAGTTGCATTTATGTACAATTTACTTGTGATATTGAATTTTAAGTAATATGCATTAATAAATAATACTTTATACACAAAAAATGGTTTTTAAAATTTTTTATCAAATATTTTATAAGATAATATAGATATTTTTTGTGTACTTTTTTAGATATAAATAAAATATGGGTTTATTAAATACACCAACTTTAAACATGCTCATAATAAAGCAAATTTTTATTGTTGTATTAAAACACGTATTGAAGTTGTCACCTTTTTTATATTGAATGGCCTACAATTCTTAAATGTAGAATGAATTTTTTTTATATAATTGTTAATTCTATGTTATTTTATATATATATATATATAAATAGTTTATCAGAAGATAAATTTACATGACATCTTAAAAATAGAAA